GTCGGCCTTACGCGACTTGGGACATGGATCGGCCGTGGTGGTGTGGATGGGGGGCAGGGGGGCGGTCCATGTTTGTGCAACATTGTTACTAGTAGTAAGAATGCTCCTAGTAGCCATGCCAGGAGCCCCGAACGTAGCGTCCTTGCTCCGTTCGTAGTAGGGCCAGGAGCCCCAAATGTAGCGAACATTGTTACTATAGATGTTACTAGCGGGTATTTTCCTTTGTATGAAGCGTAGCTTGAGCTACCTCTGACATTTTGAAGATTACTTGGTGTCCTGTGCAGAGCCCGTAGTTTTTGATCTTCATATTGAAGTTGAGGAAGTGAAGCGTCATGCAAGGAAGGACTCTCAGTCTATAATTATGTTATGATTTGCATGCTCTGTGTTTTGTGTTGTTATTCGTGTGTCTAGAAGACCCTCAGTCAAATGAACAAGAACTGTGAACATAGAACACAACTAGGGTAACCTGAGATTGCGAGGGGCCAGGGGGGGGGGAAATTCCTGGCAAGCTAGTTATTGACGGTTATCGAGAACCTCCCAACACTAATCAGAAATCCATGGGAGGATGAAAATCCCAACGAAGGACTCAACTGAAAGTTTACCCCTGGTGTCAGTTAGGGTTTATGGGACAAGTATTAACGTAAAGTATCAGATGACAATGTAAGGCAGTATGAGATGTGAGTAGCAGAGCCGTTGGGAAAGGTTCCGTTCATCAGTTTTTGGGACTCAACGTTCCGTTGGGTGAAACCTTTAGAACCAGCAAACTCGTTTAGTGAATAGAACAAAATTGATGAATAGCAGTGGGATTTTGTGAATGCCTTGTTGTTGCCCAGTTCATGTAAGGTTGCTATAATGAAACAGCATGTAAGTAAGCTTGCTTATCAAGCATCAAAAAACCTATAGCCTATAGAGTAACATTGAAACAAAACCACAAATTGGATATCCGAGCAAAGCATTCACTGAACGTGACTGCCAATGTAGGGATGTTTGATCTACAGCTACTCTACATCCACACAATTGCCTCAAAGCAGGCTGACCTGGACCAAGCAAGATGTCACCCAAGCTTTTGGCACGTTCCCAGCTACGACAACTCAGTCACGTGGGCGAGTCAAAGTGATGTTCACCCGCCCTGCTACAGCTTCAGAGCGCGAGGTTCTGGACAATGTGACAGCAAAGGCACTTTCTTTCGCGCGCCTGAGAAAGCGGAACCGGGAATGATCCAGAAGACAGTATCTCCTAAAGCCCAATGATTACGAAAAAGGAGACGTATACATGTGCGGCTTGCTGGGACTATTTTGTTCAGCTGCAGCTGAATGAAATGCAAAGATTGAGGGCTCACCTTGTATCAACCAAGGCCTTTCAGGAAACAAAACCTGGAAGCAAATCGAATGATATCGATTGATCTCATCAATCTCCGGACCCCATTTCTTGCGACATCGTGGCACCCCCGACGTCCATGACGTCGCAACCGACACGTCTTAACGGTGCAACCGGGCTCCGACCGGGCAACCGACCGCTCCCCACTACGGCCACCCATCTGGTGTGGAACTGGTGTGTCCATAGGTGGGTGGATTGTTTGGCTGGTAGACATACTGGGTGAGCCACTGCCGGTATGTATATGTATATATATTTATGTGTGTATATTACATTTTTTAAAGTGAAAGAATAAGGTGATACCGCCTGGCGCGGTTTGGTGTTATTTTGAAGATGTGTTCCGCTTGTTGTTTTTCAAACAAATATCCTTACATACTTTACACATCTATGTCGGCTAGCAGGCAAGAAGTCTTTTTTCTGGTAGACAGACTTGCTGAAAAGGCGTTTTCTTCATGCTGGGGCGCTTAGGAGGGATCGTTGGATTTCCAAACCGTGGGGGTGGGCCCCAATTCACTGCCCACCTGCCAGTCGAAGAAACGGTTCTCATCCCGAGTGCTGAAGACGTTTGAGCATGCTGGAGGTTTGGCCGTCAGACGGCACCAAAATGGCAGTTAAGAGTGAGACATAAAAAGCAAGTGCCGCAATTTGAGATAGATAGAACCGGTGAGCATTCCGTGTCAGGAATGCTGAAACTTAGAGCAGCTTCCAGATTGAATGACATATAAAGAGCATCAAAGAGCTGTTGAATTTATATCGTGTACAACACGACATACATAGGAATGGAATGGAATGGTGTCGAGAACATGTTTTAAAAGCCTCCCCCTTCCTTTTCGATCTCCACGTCACTCGCTTCTGTGGTGGCACCACTGTGGTCGCCCGCGCAGGCTGATGTAATTACTGAGCCTCGGGCCTCGAGTCTTGAGCCTCGCCTCCGCCGGGGCAAGCCGCGTCGGCGCGCGCCGCGACCGTCGCCTCGCGTCGGGACGAGGTTGGCCTGAAGCTGTGGCGAACCTGGGAGGTCTGAAAATTTGTCATCAGGTGCATCGAGTGTTTCAATTTTGGAACAGTTTTGCTGCCGTATTGGTGATGATGGCAGCTGCTCAAAGCATTCACCAACAAATGTTGCTTGACATTGACGTGTCATTTCGGTCCTAGAATGCTTTCGGCCACCTCAGCCAAAAAATTCTTCTTGGATTCTCCCAAGCTAACATCGTACATGATAGAAGAGACTGATCAAAGCAAGCAAACCCCACTCATGTTCTGTGTGGTCGAGTGGTTTGCTATGCCTCACCACAGGGGGGAAGGCCCCTTTTTTTCCGAATGACTCGCGTCCTTGCTCCTACTAGCGATGGTTTTGAACCTTATAGTGATGGCCTCAACCTAGTAGTTTCTTGCTCCTAGTAATGCCCTTTGCTCCTAGTAGCTCCTAGTAGCACCTAGTAGCGAGAAACACATGGCGAGGCGACGCTGCGTTTTGCCTCACGGCGAGGCGAGTCTCACCGTTTCACCGGATCTGAGTCGCCACGGAGGAGCGGCGAACGCGGACGAGGTCCAGTAAAGACACCCGAAAACTGCACTTTCAAACCATGTTAAAAGCCTTGGCCTTCAACAAGGTAGCCATGGCCTCCAACCTAATAGCGATATGATGCGATATGTCACATGATGGCATATGGTTTCCACCACCGATGCCCGTCCGACCACGCAGCCGCGCGTCCGAACAGCGACTCGACCCAGAACCGGCTGTGTCAGCGACGCGTGGTGCAAAGGAACACACGTGCGGACAGCCGCAACCTGAAGAGGGACACCGGCAGAGATGGTTTTTAACACTCCCACCATTTTCATGATCTTAATGCGGTTTCATCAGTTTCATCCACAATTCCTACAACATAGTTTTCTTCTTCGTGCACGAGACTGTTTGAAAAAGCTCCTGGATCACCATTGCGATTGATCGGGCCCAATATCTCGCCAGAAAAGCGCAGGTTTGAAGGAATCCGGGAGAATGTGGGAACTAGCAGCATGAAATACGATGAAATAACTCTAAAAAGCTGTTTCAGAGAGCAATCGTTACAGTTTGTGTTGGTCCCCATGGACAGTCGTTGCAGGTGGTTGCCATCTACAACGTTCTGTATGGTACCCAGATGAGGATGGCAAAATATTGTGCTAAGCTCCAAGAGCAAGCTGGTGTCTCTCTTTGTCTCTGCTTCTAGGCAAAACGCTTAAACATTTTCAATTCACCTGCACAGCCGGTCTTTGCATGGTGCAGGTGGTGTTTCTAACTTGAATCTAAGCTATTCAAGAAAAGTTAAGTAGAATCATGAAGTCATATGAAGTAATGGCATCTCGGTACGAGTCCCCGTGACTTGCAGTCCACCGGTACTTTGTAGATGAATCTTGGGGTACCAGATTCTTTACTTTCCCACTGATAGATTTAGGGGTTACGGGGGTTATATATATATATATCAGTAGAAACCCTTGGACTCACGTTGACTGACCCCTGCCACCCCATCATTATATTGCCATACCCTCCAGAGTGTTCACTCACCTTGGGAGAAGGGTATCGTTCCCAACCATCGAAATGATACGGTGCTTTGTTGTGGCTTCCCTGTCGATGAATCAAGCAATGTTCTTTCAAGGTTCCTTCCTTGTGGAGTGTGGACATATGTGGAAATGATCTCCTGCGTGTCGCCGAGTATGGGGTGTTGTTGCGACAACCCACGCGTCGCCAATGTTGGTGTTGTCGCGACCCCAAATGTGCTGAGCGGCAAGTTGAACGTCGCCACAAAAGTGGCAGACCGAACTCATGAGAGCGGAGGAACGAGGAAAAGGAGGGCTCAAATTGAAAGTCTAAAGTCGGCTGATCACTTCTACCCTAACTCGAAGATTGATTCATTATGATTCGTTGGGAACCCCCAACTCTGCTGCGGGGAGTTATCCAGGACACTTTCAGGGTCTCACTGCTCAGGTCGCCTACAAAAGTTGCCATTTAGGGCCTACTATAATATACTTTATATACATATATGTCGATGTTGAGGGTACGTTCATGGTGTATTCCATACCAGTAACAGTCGTTAAAGGATGATCACTGTTGGGAAGGGGCAAGCTAACCATCATCCACTGTTCCTGGTCATGGGATGTACTGTACTCAAACCATAGGATCATAGGACCATCATAGGATCTCAAAATGTCCCTTCTCAGGGTCTCAGGTCCGAATCTCAGATTCCGACGAGCGACGAGCGACTCGGATCCCATCCAGACAGCTCACTTCATGTGTGAATGGATCATCAGTAGCACTGTAGTCCGGACAGTAGGACAAGCACTCATGTGAATGTGTGTTTTTCCTTTTGGTTAAACTCTGTCAGATGGTTTCATCCCGGGTTCGACCTGCTGCTTCCACCTGCTCACCTCGGCCAAAGGGTTGAAGTGGACTCGAGTGGCCACCAGTAGCGGATCACTTTTCAGATGTGACACGTGATTTGTTGACACATGGTCACACATGGTTTTCCAGTTCCAAGAACTGTCATCTTCTTCACTGGCGCTTTTGGATCCTGGCGGACCGAAGGCGCTTGAACCTGTGGGGGGGGGGGGCGCAAATGATCCTGGATCCTCGTGCTTGATCGAGATGGCAGGTGACGGATGACATGAAGACCAAGAATCAACCGAAGGAGCCGTAGAAGTTACAGTGAAATCCTCAGTTCCACTGTTTCACATGCCGTAGCATTGAATATGAAGAGATGGAAAACATGGTCTTTCCCAAGAAACAGCGTCTTTTGGTGAAAGAAACAAGCACCGGTCTCCCAGGTCTTGCTTTCAGGTGCGTGCCGTGGGATCTTAATGGATCCACAAGTCACCAAATGTCGACTATTCTTCCAATTTGTCCACCTGTTGGGGAATTTGACTGGACCGAAAACATAGGACAGGACACCATATTTATACCGTATGGAGCCCTAACCCACACGAAACCAGTATGTTTGATGAATAATTCAAAAACATAATGTGTTTTGAGAACCCATATTTAATCTAATCCGTACGCAACCCGTGCTAACCCATACTAACCAACGAGCAAATCACATGTTAATTGTCTGATTGCCACTGCGTCGGTTTATTCAAGGTACAAACCTTCTTTGGTCCTCTCCCAAGTCATTACCCCCATCTATCCTGTTCAATGGTTGCGATCCGATCATTCACTTATTTTGACTTATTGGTCCAAACTTAAGTATTTGAAGGTTCATGATTGCATCGCTTTTGAAGGTTCAGTGCTACTTATGTGGTTGCTTTTTTCAACCCGTAATTGTTTTTTCCGAACCAGGCCATGTGAATTCCCAGGGACCCGTGCTAGCGGCGGTGCCATCAGCTCACTGATGATAGAATCGGATCTCCGACGTGCATGTTTTTAATTGGGCAGCGTTCTTTTTTGTAGTACAATATATATATATACGTAAGATATATATATATGTATAGTTTAAACACTGATGTGTTTTCTACAGATTCTCAGGGCCAACCAAACCTTCCGAAAGCCGCCAGGAGAATCAAGTGATCCCGGCCTCCAAGGCCATGAGCACCGAGACCGAAAGTGTGTACTGACGGGTTAGTCCTGCGATGCCCTTTGTGACTAGTAGCGTCCTTGCTCCTAGTAGCGATGCCAGGAGCCCCTAGTAGCGTTCTTGTTCCTAGGAGCGATGCCCTTTGTTACTAGTACTTGTAGTGTCGTTGCTCCTAGTATATAGCGATCCCATGCGACTTCTATATACCAGGTGCATCCTCTTTGGGTCCTGCAGGCCACCCTCTTTCGGAGTGGTGCAAAACCTAGACTCCACTTTGGGCTGGCGGAACTTTGGCACTGGCGCCGGTGGTTTGGAAGATTTCTGCCAATTCTGTTGGAATGCTCGTCTCAGTCAGGTCCTAGATTCCCAATACGCTACCCTCTTTGTGGCGATGGTTTAAAGCGCCAAGAAGCGACAACTAAATTGCATGATTGCCCTCTTCTTGTATTGAGACTGGCAGGGCCCAGTCAAGGAAAGGGGCTCCATTAGACTCATAAGATCATTTAAATCCGAGCAGGTCCAGGGGAATGAATGATGTTCAGAGTTTGAAAAAACAGCTGTCACCACAAGCAAGATGCAAAAAAACACATATGACCTATTCCCATACATATATAATATATACCAAACTATATATATATACATGTATGAGTTCTTTTCAAGTGACACCAAATCGTCATATCCATTTGTTTGCAGTTTCCATCAAGGGGAAGCCCTGCTACGATCACAACGAAACCAGAAACGCCAGGCCACACCAAAAGCCTCGAGCAGCGCATTCAGCAAGCGAGGGCCCAAAGGGGAGCCCAAGAAGGAGCAGAGGGCTGAAATGGGCTGAAGGAAGGGGGGAGAGGATATCTTGAGCCCTGCTCCCATTTTTGGGGCATTGCCAGGCATTGCAAATATCAACACAGATGTTTGTTTGTGAACAATTGTTCCTTGCCCTGTTGGTCATTGTCTTTTGGATTGAAATGTTAAAGAACATTCAAGAACCATAAAGGTAGTGAAAGAAACAATTGGGTGACATAAAGTGCACCCAAACGCCCCCGCCCGTGAATAATTATAAGAGATTTTGATTGGATAGGCAAAAACCTATTGGACCATTGCGGAACGGATGAGCTGCTCAATGTGAACTGCTGAGATCGCACAATGGTTAGACTCAACATCCAGAACATTCGGGCCATCCGTGTACTCATCCTGTGTACTGCTGCGGTGTACTAAACGTGTAGTGACTGGGTGAGGTTGGAATCTGAACCAGGTGTACAAAACAACTTTGGAGCTATACCTACTGGGTATGCTCTCCGAAAACTGTCGGTTTGATTACCAGATGATGTTGTGACCATGGGTTTTGCCAAGATGTTCGGGCACCAACAAGCCGGCTCCCAAGATTGCACAGTCTTTGCAGCGACTGCTTTGTCAACATTCACTTACAAGCTTCAAACTCATGGGCGGACCTGATCGGAGGAAAACGGTGAGTGTGATGCAGTGGGACACAGTGGGACTGTCCTTTGTTCAGATTGTTGAGTCCTCCTTTTACGATAAAGAATCAAAAGGTCTTCTTCAATTTGAGCTCGAGAAGAGGTGAGCATGTAAACCTGTGATATAATGTTTATATATATATATATACATACTCAGGTCTAATGCCACTAGAATTTGCTGGGCTAGTGACATAAGAGTTGTGGACGTTCTGCCAGTACATGACTCCCAAAAAAAAAAATAACCAAATACCGTGCCCAAGGAGAGAATATGACTGCTTCAAGCTTCATGATTTAGGCGCGCTCCCTAAGCTTTTCCCACTGCCTGATCTATGTCATATAGTTTCTTGCCACCCAAGTTCTTTTTTCTCAAACAAATCTATGGCTTATTATGCTTTTTGCCATGGGACCATTTGGCTGTCCATAAAGTTCTAAACTCTGAAGTCATGCATGCAAATGTCGGCTGCATGGTGGCAGGCTGATGACATAGGAAGTAAAGACCTTGAACTCATAACAGGTTTGAACACACGCTTTCCTATCTCATCTCCTAGTTGCCACCTGCTATGTTGGTGGCATACTAGCTAGGTCATGTGTGGTTTAATGTCAACAACCTCCTCAAACCATGCAATCTCAAACATTCTGTATGTGACAACATAAACGTGTGTGCCAGGCTGGCTCATTTCTGAATGTTTTGACCTGATGAGATAGGAGCTGTGGCATATAGGCTCTTGCCTGATGACATAGGAGTTTTTTCCAACGATTATTTCACAGCTCCTATCTCATTTTCCCAGATTATATATATATATATTATCTAAATCTGTGTATATCCTTTTTTTCCTGATTTGGTTGATGTACAAGGACAAAACATGCCTATTTGTCTTTGTGAACCTTACATGTTGTCATCGTTCTTAACAGAATCATTGGTGCTTTTGGTTGTTTAATTGTTTTTGAGTACACTTTTTGTGAGTGTGATCTGCTTCGTTCTGTTCATGTCAGAATAGGAAGGATCAGGCATGATTTAAATAAGCACGTTCATGACACCGATATTCATTCAACATCTCCAACTTGTGCGAATCCCGGCGTGCATTCCGGATCGTCGAAAGGTCGCTGTGAACGATCGGGACTCCCAAGACCGATCGGGAAGACAAGCAAAGAGACTAAAACCCGTTGGGCATGTTTGCATCAAAAAGCGCACGCATACAAAAATCAATCCAAATCCAGCGTGTAGGGAGGTTCTCCAGTCAGTATATAGATGATAATGATGCTCGTTTTATGCTTGTTTTTTGCCGGCATATTTGAGCGGCGCACTAAATCCACCTCGCAGCATGTGTTGGTTTTCCGCACCACAGACTCCGAACACACAGACTCGGCAGACTCAGGAGCTTCAGAAAGATGTGAATTGGATGGTCGAGAACTATGATGGCGAACGGATCGCCACTGGGCACCGTCGGTCGGTCCGGACCAATCCCGGTGGGACCGGTGGATGTCCGGTGGGGTAACCGGATGCGACTCGTCAACCCGGTGATGAGCAACGAGGAGTAACTCGGCTGTTTGAATGACTTATTTGTTGGATCTACAGGTCGTCCCAACCAGATCAAAAAGCGGCCAATTTGACAATAGGCTTTACCATGCTCAATGCTCACCCAAAATTGATACAACATGATAAAACATTGTGTCGGTACTGGTGCAAGACAGCTTTTCCCATGCTTGATATCCATCGTCCAGGCTGGATATGACAAATACTGAGGCTTGGGGATTGATTCTAGGTGCTCTAAAGTCTCTTCGTAGAACATACTTTGGGATCCAAGCAGACTATTAAGGATTGCTGATTTGAACACTCCGAAAGCTGAGTGGCGAATCAGTCCTCCAACGGGGTGCTTGACTTAGCAGCCGAATGACATGCGTGAATTCGGAATGGCGGGAGAGCGAATCTAGGGAACATCACGTCCAATGAATTGGCAAAGATCAGGAAACAACATTTGGACGCCCAAATTCGACGACGGACACTGGACATCGAGTTTGTCCAACAAATTCGTCGACTTGGCAAAGAATCGAGTCAATATAGCATGCGTCGTCTTCACATCGCTCGTCTCAGGTCATGGACGATGTCGGGAGCCTAAGAAAAAGGGCTCGACCACAGGAGTGGAGCACATCATCTTGGTCACAACGCAGTGTACCGTTCTGTGTTTGGTGTGAACCTAAAAAAGAAACCGGTGTCACCCAGCACTGGATGGGGGTAGACTAGGATGAATAAGGAGACACCCCATGAACCCAGATTCCTCGGTAAGCGCAACACAAGTTAGCCAAAAACTATTGGCTTGGAAGTGCACCCTGTTGAACATGACGATAGACTCATCGTGTTTTCACCTTTTCTTTTGATGTTTGAACTGTGGCTTTGGCTCGTGCTCCAACGGTGCTCGCTCGTATCTCCACGTCGGCATCGGTGTCGAACTCCCAGAGCTCGGTGCGAGCGAACGTTTTCCCCAACATTCGGAAGCGGAACATAGTGGAACTACGCCGACAAGGAGCCAAGGCATCCACTTGGTTTGTTTGTTGGAGGGACGATTTGTAGTAGCAATAAGCTACTAGTAACAAGGGCATCGCTATTAGTAACATGCAGGTGCATCGCTACTAGGAGCAAGGACGCTACTAGTAGCTCCTGGCCTTACTACTAGGAACAAGAAGCTACTAGGAGGAAGGACGCTACTTGTAGCAAGAATGCTACTAGTAGTAATGCCGTTCTTACTGGTAGCGATGCCCTCGTTACTACTAGCAAATGCCTGGAGCGGTACGTGACTGTCCGCTTCTTGAGATTTTCAATGTTCCTTTGAAAAAACTGCTTTACAGTTTCTTTGGTTGGGCTACATTGCAATTTTTCAGGCGCAGTTGATCACCGAGAAGTGGGTGTGCCAAAAATCATGCAGTTCCCAAAAGCAATCTAATCTGAAGTACCTGGTGCTGGGCATTGGGATGTGGTGCATCTTGGTGATCCATACCTTGTGAGGGTGGCGTGTGTTTGTAACGCACCAGACAATGAGTATGGTAAGTTTGGATTGTGCAAAAATCCAGTTGTTCCAAAAGCTTCAAACACAACTAAATGCAAGCTGATGCAACATGTAAATTGTTTGTTTTGCAATGTTTATATAGACCCTTGTAATGTTTATCCAGCAGCTTGACAAACTCAGTGACAAACACTTTGGCCAGACAGGACTAGAGCGTTTATATAGAGCTTTTGAAGCTTTCCAACACAGCCCTTTGTTCCCAAGAATTGCCTTTAAACATCTTTGCCAATTCCAGAAAGATGCTCACCCCTGTCCGTGTTGTTGAGTTGTTTCCGCATTGTTCACTTGCTGTGCAGCACACATTCACTTGGGGCTTTCCGGATATTTGCAAACACTCAGAGCACAGACACAAGGAACCACTCGGTGAACTCCCTGAAAAGATGTCCAGGTTTGTGGGTTTCCCTGCAAAGGATCCTCCATTGAAGGGATTTGGGCAAGCGGCTTGGCGAAAGGACCCAGCAAGATCAACATAGATCAAGGCCCCAGGTGAGGAACGAAGCAGTTCAGTTGAATGATTGCAGTTGATGACCTATTCACCAAGAACGATGTGTTTTTGTTTTATTTGTGTTTTGCGTTCTTCACAGGTCGACATGAAGCAGTTGGTGGTGATCCTCAACTGCCGCAATACCACTGTGACTGTTCCCAAGAAGGCCAGGGAGTGGTGGCTTTGCTAGTCAGACGGTCGCTGCTATTCATCACCGTTTGAAGAGAAAGTTTGCTTTGACCTGTGCTTTGAGCGAAGAAGTCTAGGAGCTCATCCATAAGAAGCACAGTTTCCGCATGGTTTCTTTCGGTTTAACAGCCATTTGTCTATCGATCCAAACCACCCCGGATGGTTCTGGTGAAATAAACCAGACTGAACCACCAAAGGCTTCGGAGCGCCAGGAGTGATTCTTCGGATTCCAATGTTCAAACACACCAGACCCGATGTTCCAAGTATTGGGGAGATGGTCAAACTGCTCGATGATCGTGCGACATCCAACATCGATCGATCCGAACGACGTAGAAATGACATTCGTTCCAACATGACCAGGTTCAGTGGAGAAATCGGATGAAATCGCCGAGGACGTTTGTTGTGTGATTCAGTGGCGTATGCTGGGTCCTGCGTTTGAGGCATGGGGAGCCCGGCGCAACCAAGGGTTGGTCTTCAACATTTCTTGGATCAGCAGAATGCTCGAAAGAAACCAAATCGGACATGGAACATGGAACTGAAGACTCTCACCCTTTGACAACTGTAGTGTTTTTTGTTTGCCAGACTGACCAGGCAGGGATGATCGAAGGGTTCCATTTCATGCTGATGCCAAAAGGTACGCATGTTGCTCCATATCAACTTTTGGACTATGCCAATTCACTCTTTGATTCACTGCTTTGATGTATATCAGATTTTGGACGCCAGAGCCAGGTGAAGTCCATTTGCGTGGACAGCTGTGAAAAGGTGCGGACGGTGGGCGTCAAACGGTTGGACTGGGTGCGCCACTTTCGACCCAGGTGAACAAACTGAGGTGAACGGTTCAAGACCTTCAATAAGTAGTTATAGGTGTTTGGAGGTCCAACTGCCCTTCTTGGCTTGCTTAGGATTGGAAGCGTCGTATATCTAACCTTGCTTGATCCGTAAGACATGGTTTTGAAGCTTTAGTGCCGTTGGCAGACATGTCCACTTGGAGTTCTGCCTCGCTGGTGTAGCTCTACCGACCATGACAGTCCTCGGCCTCGGTCCTTGAACGAAGCCACAGATCGAGTAAAAGCGGTGAAGAAGCTGTGAAGGAGCTTTGGCTCTTCCCGTCCTACCAAGTCTGGCTGTTGAATCTGTTTTCCTTTGACTGGTTCGAATTCATGCTAATTAATGTTGTGTTCCTGTTTGTGACTTCTTGTTGTTTACGTGTTTTCATGAATCCCCTTATTAGTACATTGTTTTGTATGTCCTTTCTCTCTTCCTTGAATCTGTTTTCAATCCTTGTAGGGGCCAAATTCCTTGAGGAACGTCGATTTGATCCATCAATTTGCTTCACTCGGGGCTGTCTGGTCAGCCGAGTCGTGCCTCACTTGCTCTGGTGAAAATGACAAATACCAGACCATTAAGACGTCAACAATCCCCAAAAAATCACACAAACTATTGCAAAGCAAACTTCTATGTAAGCCTGAACCCTCCGTCGTAGCAGAAAAAAGTGAGAAAAAAACTGCACATCATCAAAACAAGCGTTCATGCTTTGAAAAAGCGTACCACTGGAAAGTCAGATGTAGCTTCATTCCACCTTATGTGGTCTTCAAGTCCATTCCACTGCCACATGCTGGCACCCATCCCATGCACACACAACACACGCTCACACACTACGAAGCGGCAGCCAGCAACCACTTTCTTTTATCCTCAGTATCAACATACAAGATTTAAGTAGAAAAACAATCCGCCACTTTTTAAAAATTGCGCCCGGGTTGCGGGAATTTGCGCCCGAGTTGCGGGAATTTGCGCCCAAGTTGCGGGCACCCTTTTTGGAAAAATTGTTGTAAAGCACGCCCAGAAGGTTAGAACCAAACCTTTGTGGTTTCAATTGCACATACTAGGAGAGGTCATATAGGATTTCCACCTGGTCCATAGGGCCCCCAAAGGCCCACAAGGGTTGATAAGGACACTGGTCAGGAACCAGTAGGCTTTAGAATTTACAACACCAAAAAGCGCTCATGTGTCCTGAAAAGTGTACATACCCTCAATTAACGCTCAAACTTCCAATAAGTGCTCCAAACCATGGTTCGCCAGAAATAAGTGTTACAAAGGATGCTTCAGGAGGGCTAACGCAGAGCTGTTGAGACAGACCTCCGTAAAAAGCCCTCATCTTCCGCTCAGCTGATTGCGCTAGCTCGCCGCGCCAGGTGAACGTGATCTGCCAGGATGTGATCTCTGCCGGGCACTGAGAAAAGTGATTCACCGCATTTGTTCAATCGCCATGTCACCCCGAGAATTGGTCGGTCTGCCAGCGGACTTGTTGGTTTTAAAGATTGGGCGCGGGAAAAGGATCGTATCTTAGATGTTCTTAGTGCATGTGAAGATCTCGAAGTCTTTGCATCAGGGAGGCGTAAGGGCCCGAAGGGCCTGCCTATCATTCCATCCTGATGCACAAACGGTGTCACAACGGCTCGTTCTGAAACCAGCGAGAGAGTTGCCGCACATGTGGGGTGAGAGGGAGCACTGCAGCCATCTGCAGCCTGTTCACCGCATTTAAAGGGAAAGCTTGCTAAAACGCGGGGTTCGCAAAGGTCAGTTGTTGGACAAGCAAGCATTCCGGCGAGCTTTATGTTTGAGCCTTGTAAGACAATTGAGAACGAGGTTGTTTCAATTAATATAAGGACCTCAATTTTGATGCGTGTCTTGGCAGAAAGTCCTTAAAGAAGGCATTGTCGAGGCTCGATACGCCTAATTACAGTTCTGAGTTCCGCCCATATCAGAGGCATGCTTGCTCGAGACTTGCATGTCTCCAACAAGGAAACAATAGGAAACACACTGCAAACTGGATGGAACACACCCGGATACAAACATAAACATCTAATCCTTGGCCAAGCAGCATGATGAAATGTATATGACAGTATTACAGTACTCTAATTATCAGCTATGACATATATGGACTTGATGATCAGCTACGGTGGGTTGTTGCGGATGGTTTGTTCCAGCATGTTCCACCCTTTGACTCCAGCACTATAGGTGAAACAGGGTGAAACGATGTGTCCAAGATACCTTGAGACCCAAATGAGTAATCCTGAACAGGGACAACAAGTAAATTTCTGTGCATGCGGGCATGCATCATGGTACTTTTTCATTCCATCCTGACATGAAGTTGAGGTGATGGTCACTGGGGTAGAATCAGAACACCTTATAACTGGCCCTGATGCAGTGTTATTTTTCTGCAAAACCACGAGGTATCCTGTTTCCCTCGATTCCTCCCGATGGGGGGTTGGTTTCGATCCTCCAGGCGGTGGAGTTGGTGAACAGCGACCGGTGTCAAATGCAAGCCATGGGGAAGGCGCGCACCTGGCCATGCAAGTGATCGCACTTGCCTCTTGCCGTCGTGAAAGTGAGGGTGTTGTTTCTGACAAACGACCGAATCATGGCGCTGCAGGATTGAACACAGGAATCCGACTTTGGAGTTTGGCTTGCATTTCCTCGATGTGCTTACAAAACTTATCAAACATAAATTGTTGATCCATGACAATGGCAGCCGGATGTTTTGACACTTACTACCGGTAGACGCAGAACTCGGCTCGAAACCGTCAGGTGGTGGCTGTGGCCATCGACAAGTGCGATGGTGTGAACGTGTGGCTTTCCAAGGCCACATGATCGTGGGTCTCAAGAGATTTGTCCTCCTGTGGACAAAGCGCAAGCGTCCTGTACCGATTGGTTGAAAAGAACTAATATATATATATATCAATATATCCAATATATATATATGTGTATATCCCATGCTTGTAGGAAATTCCGGATGCTAGATAACAACAATGTGCTAAACAGCCTGAAGAGTTTTGCTTCCTGTGTACAAAAGAGGCTCTGTGGAAAAAGTCAAGTCTTTTCCACAGTGAATTGGTTCTTTCCATGATCTGCCGTGGTACTTGTAGATACTTGTAGTATTTGGATCATCCGGCTTATAGGGATACTTGCATAGTTTTCAAGGACCTCTTCTCCCAAGCCAGATGTCCTTTTCTTCTCCCGCCAAGCACCGCGTTCCGCTCCACCGGATCTCGTTCCCAGGAGTCCGTGGCCGCGGAGATCACGGCGTCCAAGTCCTCGGAGATGAACGCCGGGGACGGAGCATCGGATGGGTCGAAGTTACGGGTGGGCGGGAGGCGCTTTTTGTGGGTTTTGTGTTCCATGGTTCTTTTTATGTTTTGGCAGTGTTGGGCCCGTGATTTGGCGACGATATGGAAGAGATTGGTCTTTGAACACGACTCCAAGATCTGCAAAATGTGAACATGGCATTTCTGGATCCACTGGCTGACATACAAGTCTAAGTTGATGACTTGCGCGGGTCATCTGGGAAACGATTTTCATATGCGTGAAAGCGTGTCTGGTTTCTAAGGCTTCACTTCAAAAAAGTGGACGGTTGCCGTGAGTCAAATTCCATGTTTCGAAAACGAGGAAAACATCAAACCCAAGGGGGCGATCAAATATCATCAATACCAAATATATCATATGTTGCCTGGCTTCGCATAACTGACAGCTGCCGGTTACACATTTTAGGGTTCAGGCTCTGGGTTTTAGAAATTTTTGTTGAGCAAGCGAAACCCTGATCACTTATGTAACTTCTTTACTTCTGAAGGTTTCCCTCAACCCTAGACGTAATGTACTTTACTTGGGCCGGGCCAGTTTACTGTAGATAAATTTTGCAAACGGACATGTTTTGCTCTTTATTCGGAAAGGATTGAGGGTTTAAGGGGTTATGGATGTTTATATGGGTTTAGGAGGCAATTTCAGTAGCGAAGGTGGGCTACAGTCCCTGATCCCTGAATCTATAATCCAGTTTCGAAGCGTTTAAGAATTATATAGATATTGAAAACTTCACCAAACTCAAGAGTTCAGTTTGGATAATTCTCCAAGCTCAAGGGGGTTCGCAAATTTCCCCCACGAAGGCCCGAGTTTGGAGAAGTCTCCAAACTCAGGAGTTGAGTTTGGAGATTTCTCCAAATTAGTGACTTAGAATAGTTCTCCAAACTCAAGGCCCGAGTTTAGAGCAATCTCCAAACTCAAGGGTTGACTCTTGGAGAAATCTCCAAACTCCACCAAAAAAAGTTGACACGCATATTGACTCTGAGTTTGGAGAGAGTTTGGTTCTTTCTCCAAACTCAAAATAAAATATGCGTGATCAGGTAGTTTTTCAACTTTTTGTACCCTCGATCACGCATATATTTTCACAAAAACAGCTTGATCACGCATATTTTCTGTTGAGTTTGGAGAAAGAACCAAACTCTCTCCAAACTCACTCCAAGCTCAGAGTCAATATGCGTGTCAACCTTGTTTGGTGGAGTTTCTGGATTTATCCAGGGTCAACCATTGAGTTTGGAGAAATCTCCAAACTCAGCCCCTGAGTTTGGAGATTTCTCCAAACTAGGGCCTTGAGTTTGGAGATTTCTCCAAACTCGGGCCTTGAGTTTGGAGAATTCTCCGAAGTCAGTTGAGTTTGGAGAAATCTCCAAACTCAACCCCTGAGCCTGAGTTTGGAGAAACCTGAGTTTGGAGATTTCTCCAAACTCGGGCCTTGAGTTTGGAGAATTCTCCGAAGTCACCTGAGCTTGGAGAAATCTCCAAACTCAACCCCTGAGTTTGGAGATTTCTCCGAACTCGGGCCTTGAGTTTGGAGAATTCTCCCAAGTCACTGAGTTTGGAGAAGTCTCCAAACTCAACCCCTGAGTTTGGAGATTTCTCCAGACTCGGGCCTTTGTCAGCTGAGTTTGGAGAGTCTCCAAATTCAGGCCTTGAGTTTGGAGAATTCTCCCAAGTCATCCAACAAGGAACACTAAAATGATTCAAATTATCATGTAAATCATGAAAATCCATTTGATTTGGAAATCCTTTAATGTCGCTGTGCTGTTGCTCGGCATAGCCTTTATATATACACACAGCTGATTGAGAAAGTCGGACGGTGGACATTTGACATGTTAGTCGGTCAAAACACCTGATCAGCTCCCCAACTACTTAATCACGCATATTGCTTGGAGACAGCACACCCGTGCAAGTTATCAGTCTAAGTGGATACTTATGTGAAGAGCTATGGTTGTGTTCAAGAGCCACAGCTAGCGGACTCATGCATGGTCAGTACTATCAAAGCCCAAGATTATTTGTTTAAATTTAGTTTGGTATACATGTATAATTGACATGCACAGACTTTTAGCATGTGTTTGGTCTTACTTCTGCAGGAAGAAGCCCTGTTCTACATGGAACCTGCAGCTAAGATTGACAAGGTGTACCGCAGGGCATTCCTCATGTATCGCAGGCTTTCTTGGACAATTGTGCACAGGTTTCAACTCTGTATTCGACTTGTTTCTTCTTTTTTGGACCCCACCTGATTGCAGCAAGGTGAACATCCCTGACCCTGATGGCAAGGAGGAGGACGCTCGGATGAGTTTATCGTTTGGATGCAGGATTCACCCTAATAGCCATGGCCTCCAACCTACTCACGATGGCCTCTCCCTACATATAGAAAGAAATATATATATATAGAGAGAGAGAGAGAGAATTCGAAAGAGACTAAACATTTAGATTCACTTGTCAACGCCGTGCGGCCTAGTTAAAGTCACCTCCAGATACCCTTGGAAAAAATATGCATTTGCATTTGCCAAATAAACCTTACACACTCTGATTTTGTTGTTTGCTTTGGCTGTCATCCTGGAGGTATGTGAAGCAGGGGCGAGTCGTATGCAGATTTGGTTCAAGTCGGTTCTCATCTCCTCGTTTTGGTCCGTGTTTGATGTTTTCATCTCGCAGGATGGAGACATGATCGAAATCCCCATCCCTGAGCAATTCGTGTCCCGAGTGGCAGGCCACCCAGCAAACGTCCGGGCAACACATGAGCGATGAAATGGCCAGCCGGAGGGTTGGATGATCACACAGGACCTTCCCAAAATATTTCGGAGAATGCTGCTGATGTCCATTCCCTAATCCTTTTGATTTCATGGCATATGTCTATATGGCATTCTATGACGCAGATCCAGTTATTTGGAACCCTTCATCTTCCACAATTCAACTTTGTTTTGGAGGTACTGTAGACCCCAGTTGTGGCAGGAGAGGTTTGCAATCTCGAACCTTTGTTCACACAAAAAACATGTGTTTTGAGTGTTCTTTGTTTTTGCGGATGGATCTTTGTTTGCGCCTCCCCCCGCAAGTGTTCAACAAGAAGCTACTAGTCACAAGGGCATCGCTACTAGTAACAGGGGCATTCCCACTAGTAGCAAGAAGCTATTAGTGTAGCTATGCCAGGAGCCCCTTGTAGCGTCCTTGCTCAGGAGCCCTCAGTCGTAGCGTCCTTGCTCCTAGTAGTGATGCCCTTTGTTCCTAATAGCTTCTTGCTCCTAGTAGTAATGCCAGGAGCCCCTAGTAGCGTCCTTGCTCCTAGTAGTGATGCCAGGAGCCCCCAGTAGCGTCCTTGCTCCTAGTATTAATGCCAGGAGCCCCTAGTAGCGTCCTTGACCCTAGTAGCGTCCTTGCTCCTAGAAGTAGTGCCTGGAGCCCCAAGTAGCGTCCTTGCTTCTAGTAGTAATGCCAGGAGCCCCCTTGCTCCTAGAAGTAATGCCAGGAGCCCCTAGTAGCGGCGTCCTTGCTCCTAGTAGTAATGCCAGAGGAGCCCCTAGTAGCGTCCTTGCTCCTAGTAGTAGTGCCAGGAGCTACTAGTTGCTTTGACAGATGTTTACATCAAGTGCTTCATGGCCGAAAGACTGTTCATTGCTGAGGTGGGAAAGAAGCTGAAGACCGAAGTTGGAAGCCCTGGTTTTCGGGCCGAAAAATGTCTATTATGTGTGAGGCGATGTGCTGAAGAAATTGTTTCTTGGTTTAAACATATTGCACAGTGAGACCCACATGGATTGTCAAGTGAATTTCCTCAACATGTTTTCGACGCTGCTTTTGTTACTAACTGGTTAGCTGGCTATCAACGCTGCTAAGTGTAGGACCGGTTTCTTTGCAATCTTTTCTTGGGTTCTATGAGAAAAGCAATGTGCTGGATCATCCAGGAACAGTATGGCTCCAGTATGTCCAAGCTTCATCAAGCTTCCCACATGAAACCCGTGGGCTGCGCCACTCGGAGCTTTCAACGCCATTTCAACGCGCTGTCAGGTCTCTGGCATCTACAGTGGCTGAGTGGCGAAACGCATCAGAGATCCAGGAAGACAATGCACAGGAAGCCTGATTGACATAAACTTCCGATGGTTGTGGGCCATCCTGAGCTTTAAGTGGTCTTGAACTAATATTGGTAAGCGGACATTCTAGCTGAGGAAGACTTAAAGCTATCTCTATCTCTCTCTCTATATATATATATATTTTTGACAGCAACCTGCCATCGATCGAAAACCGAACCCTCTTCAACTTTAGACATCCATTTGTTCTCCCTTCATTGAGGAACACATAGGACGACGTCAGAAAGCGTCGGAAATCCCACCGCGGCAGCGGCTCAACATTCCGCTTCCGGTCAGAACCAGTCAGAACCAGTCCACGCGGCAGCGTTCCTTTTCAGTCTGACACGGTGGTCCGAAGGTGGAAAAGCTGTGACGAGTTCCCACACGAACGACCCGAAACTGCGTGGGACGAAGGCGTCACGCGCGTCACGGGTTTCCCTCGCAGCGCCGGTTCTCAGTTTCAATTGCATTGATTGGGTGTGGAAAAAGAATGGAACCGGCAGGGGTCTTATCAGCAAGACTGGTAAAGGACAATAGAACAAACATGATCAAACATGCATGACCGTGAATTTGGTCATGTAGGTTTCTGACGCTGAGGTGAAATGGATCTTGTTTGGAGGTTTACCCAGTTGGTACATTTCGGGCCAATCAGCTGACACCCTACAACTTCGGATGTTTTCTCAAGGCATATCAAAGCAGCTCCTCTCAGCTTGTTCACACGTTTCAGCAAGAGGGTTGGACATCTCATTGGAGTTATGCATGCACTTCTTCAACACATTTCAACACCTTTTCAACATCGCATACTCATATCCACATTGGGCGGGCTTTTCATGGCATAACGGCACAAACCATTTTCCCACAAAAATAGGCATGACAGATGCATGGGATTCTGAACAATGTTGGTGAACATATTGGTGAACTATTCATTATTGTCCAAATTGTGTGTTGTTGCACACATCAACTTGACCAACATTCCCGTGTCTTGGGGATAGTTATGGTTTGTGCCTCGGCCATGTTTGCTCCATGCAGCGTGGAGTTGAGAACATCCAAAGCAAATCAGCAAGTTGAATCCAAAGCCAGAAGAAGATGCAGTCAGGAACTTGTTTCATGGATTCAGAGTCAGACTGGATGGAATGACTACCCGACCCAGTCTTCGAAACATATGGACTTGGCTTTTTCAGTCCTCAAAGATTCTGGCGTGATGTCCAGAGCTTATGCTTGGCAATGGTTTGCTAAAAGGCTTCCACAGTAGCAGGCCCCCCTGGTTGATCCGACAATATCAACACCCTGTCGATCGAAATCATGCTTTTTCCACGCCGCAACATGCACTCGCAACTGCTGCGTCTGCCTGAGAGGTTGTCGGGTCGGTTTCTGGTGTTTCCAAGGGATTTGGCCGTGGGTCGTACCTGGAACCCCGAAAGACGCGTTTTTTGGACCGAGTCATTCTTTGGTCGCTGGAAAACCTCTTGGGGTGTGATATATCTTGCTATTGTTGCTCGCAGGCCCTGCCCTTTGACCACCTACAAATCGCAGAAACATCCTAGTAGCGATGCCAGGAGCCCCTAGTAGCGTCCTCCACTTCAATTTAAGTCCAAAGTAGATTCCTGCCGACCTTCGCGTACCCGCCGTGCTGCCTTCGTCCGCCAGCAAGCACATATGATGTTGCCCAGGCCATGCAGTTTCGGATGTTTGGACACGAAATGATTTCAACACGGAACTTCAGTGAGAAGCGTCGCGCGTGTGGGATGGACACCTTCCAAAACGCAGGTTTTTAGCGTTTTGTGTGCGACTTGTTCATCATTTTTCCTTGCTCATGTGAGTCTCTTGCTCAAGGATGAACGGTCGGCGTATTTAAAAACTACTTGAAGGCCAACAACTCAGCTACAATGATTATATATTTTAAATTATCCATGACTTGCAAATAGACCGATTTGGTTTAATGTTTCCAGACGAAGAACGTCAATAGGCCTATACCGGAAAGGGGTTTTCCCGCCACACTGCCAACTCGATGGACAAGGACAACTCAACAGCATAGCAGTAGCAGCAACGGCAAGCCATCATACTGCGGACAAAGCAAAACATTGCTGATTACCTTCCGGTAAAACCACACGTCATTACACCCCGCACACCCCACCACCCCGGTTTAATAAGTTTCTTTAAATGGCACGGCTACAGCTACACGCATGGTTTTGCGGTCCTACGGGAATCTCCTATCCTTTCGAAGGATAAACACCGAAATCACGCGGCACTAGACAAAACATATATAAATGCAATTCACTACTAGTAGCAAGGTGCATCGCTACTAGTAGCATCCTTATGCTACTAGGAACAAGGGCGATGAATGCGACACTTCACTTGCTTCGATTGCACTTTGCTCGTCGGACTCTTCGCTCGTCGCCTGAGGCGCGGACTCGCCCTCGCCGGGCTCGCTGCGGTGTCTCTCGCGGAGAGCGTTCTGTCGTGGCGAGGTGCGACCCAATCGATGCACACGGTGTCCAAAACGATCCTCATAACGCCTGCTAGCTTTTAAATCATGTGTTATCATTTTTATTGATTATTAAAGTATTTTGACACTGACGGATATGTAATATATATATATATATTTCAGATTACACTATTCACCCCTTATTTGGGATGATCTACTGATCTCATGCGGGGCATTGCGGGGCCAAAGCCACCAACCAGGCCGCTGGTGGCCGCTTTCAGGGCCGGCATAAGTACACATTGAGTCCATCAAAACTATGTTTTGCAGATCCAGATCGAGTGTTTCACATACCAGTTCCATCCACTTCCGAACTAGAGGTGAATCATTTCCTTAGATCTACAGCAACCCAGATTGGCTGCTGAACATGTGTTTGGCCAGTTTTTTTTTGTCGTTGGCCCAGGATCACAGGGGGTTGAGGGTTGGAGAACATAAGGAGCGACCAACAACTCTAGTTTTTAGGCCTGCTGTTGAGGTTTGAGGGCGAATATGGTGCCAAACTCATTAGCTGCAGTATATAGGGTAATACCCTTGGAACGGACCCTAGGGTAATAACCTTTAGTCGAGGGACGCGTGTTGTGGCAACATCGACACCCTGATTTGCTTCCTTTTCTTTGGGGTGCTTTGCAATATCAGGAAGGCTACGAGGAACGATAAATATATATATAATATATTTGTGATATACCTCGCTAATCTCTTTCGCACGGTGGGTTGACCGAAGGAGGAAAGGTTCATCGTTGGGCCATTGCTGTCAGCAACGTTGGGCCACGATGGCCAGGCGTCAATGGCTCCTGCCCTGGTGAGGCCTTTAAGAGGCGCGACGCGAAGCAAGGGATGGCCTCCAACATAGTAGCGATGGCCTCCAACCTAAGAGCAATGGAAGAGGTCTTGAGTTTAATCTCATGACATGACGCAGAACTGTGTTTGACATGTGAAATAACGGTAGAGTATCATGCCATATCATGCCGGTTCTGTCAGTGTGGCCCCCAGTTGTTAAAGGTACTGGTAGATGTTGATTTGTGGGATTCCCTTGTGTACCCTTAAATTCGAAGTGTTCAATGGCCATTGTACCGGTTGAACAACCCAACAGGGTTCACTGTCTTGGAGCAACAGGGGTTGGTGAGGATTTTCCCATCAATTGCAGGGATGAGGGTAGCCAAGTCCAGCACTTTAATTCCAGCTCAGAGATACCGGGCTCTAGCTGTCCTATTTCTCGGTACCAGCAAGAAGTGGTCTGAAAGGGTGCCAAGATGCCAACGGCAAAACCCCCTCCAGAAACGTCCGGATTGAAGGATCCCATGGATCCCGGTGACACTGCAGCCGTTCGCGGTAGACCTGTGAGAAGCCAATGAGAGCCAACAAAAAGACACTTCTGCCGTTTGCATGGAGGGGTCACCTTCCTGGCACCAAGTTTCTGAAGCCCCGCCAGGCCGTCAGTCACCAGCCTGGAGCAATGCCAAAGACTTTGCGAAGGTCAAGAACGCTGCAGAGGCGCCGGCAAAGCGGTCAAGTTCTGCAGTGAACACCTGCAAGGTCCCTGATATCAGCACTGGTAGATTCTAATTATTTGGACCACCACATCCAGATTTTATTGATGCAGGATTGGATGTGCAGAGGAGCTCCACATGATACCGAAACTACATGAGTGCGAAGCTTGTGCGGTAAATGCAGAATCCGGCAACGAGTTTTGGCTTGTTTCGGTCGTCACACCTGTTCCCTTGAGGAACAAAGACTTTATGAAGAAGACTAAGGAACCTAAGAACCTAATAGCGATGGCCTCCAACCTAAGAGCAATGGCCTCCAACCTAAGAGCGATGAGAACATCATTGAAGTTTCTCCGGCTATAAAGTTCAGCTCTTGTAAAGTGTGGACACTTTGATCCATTGGGAGACTGTTTCTCGGGAAGCATGTTCTGTGGCACAAGCTTGAGATGGAGTTGTTGTCGCTATTAGGTTCCTTAAAGTCTTGTTCAGTTTCTCTTTCTTTGTGGAACCCTCGCTCCAAACCGTGTCGGCTGCAGGTTTTTTTGAGCTGAAGTGTGCGAACGGGAAATCCGCACGAGTTGGGAATCGACTGCTTCGAAACCGCGCGAGAAACCGCACACCCCCCTTGGTTGGTCGCGCAACGACAATAGTCAGAAGAACACTCCAAGAGTCTTAGAGTAAAGCAGAATTCATCACAATTCACGCTTTTTTCTTAAAAGATCGTACATAAACCAAAACACAGACAAGAAAAAGAAGGACTTTGCCCGTCGAACGGCCAGGGGTGACATATCACCGCCTCAGCCAAGCATGCGAGCTCCTTTCACATGCAGAGGCGCCGGCCGTGGAGTCCGATGCTGTGCCGTTTGGATCGGCGCTACGACATTCACAGCATGCACCAGACATCCTAGCTTCGTTCGCTAGTAGTAGCAAGGAAGGTGCCTTACTAGTAGTAACAAGCTACTAGCAGTAATGCCAGGAGCTACTAGCAGCTTCTTGTTC